GTAAGCGAGAGAATGTGTCCCACCTCAGAGGAGGAATACCAGAGATCCCAGAATCCTCAGGAGAAGACCATGCGCACACAGAGGCCTCATTGACCATCACCTGATTGACAGGCTAAACTCCACCCCTTTCATTCTTAATCCTCTCAAACTGACAAGGGATTATATAGCTACCATACACTGCCACTGGATCCACAAGACCTTCTACCCACTGGCCTGTGAACTTCCTACATTCAGCATCATTGTGTGTTCTGCATGAGTCTAAATAAAAATTTGTTAACTAGTATCAGACATATGGACTAATATCGGATTTATGAATTTGATCTGGACTGGGATGGAATGTTTTCTCAATATTCAACTGCTCTTGTATATAAAGCTTTTTCTTATACACATATGAGTGTCTGTGAATTTGTTTACCTAGTCAACCTGGACTAACACATTATTCTTAGTGAGGGGCAGTGGTGGCTCAGTGGTAGAATTCCTGCCTTTCCCAATCTTAATTCCTGGCCAGTGTACTTCTTTTTTTTTTTTTATCCTGGGGGGTGGGGAGGAAGCATTTAGGAACTAGAGGAAAGTTGTATTTTTCATTGTTGCTACATTGCACTTTGACTGGCTCATCTCTTCCCCAAGACCCCTCTGCAAGGGGATCTCCAGTGGCCTACAAATGAGCTTTGGGTCTCCACTCTGCACTTCCCCCCTCATTCACTATGGTAAGATTTTTTTTGTTCTGATAATGCCTTATACCTGATCCCTTCGACACCTCCGGCTGGTGTGCATCTTCCATGTGGGCTTAGTTGCTTCTGAGCTAGTTGGCCGCTTGTTTACCTTTAAGCCTTTAAGACCCCAGACACTATACCTTTTGATAGCTGGGCACCATCAGCTTTCTTCGCCACATTTGCTTATGCACCCATTTGTCTTCAGCGATCGTATCATGGAGATGTGCGCACGATGATATGATTTTTTGTTCTTTGATGCCTGATAACTGAACCCTTTGGCACCTCGTGATCACACAGGCTGGTATATTCTTCCATGTGGGCTTTGTTGCTTCTGAGCTAGATGGCCGCTTGTTTACCTTCAAGCTTTTAAGACCCCAGATGCTACATCTTTTGATAGCCGGGCACCATCAGCTTTCTTCACCACATTTGCTTATTCATCCACTTTGTCTTCAGCGGTTTTGCCTGGAAGGTGAGCATCATAGAGTGCCAATTTAATAGAAGAAAGTATTCTTGCATTGAGGGAGTACTTGAGCAGAGTCCCAATGTCCTTCTTCTACCTTAATACTAAACCTATAAATATAGTCACATAGCTCTATTTCCCCATCCTCATATATAAATATATTTGCATATGTACATGTCTTTATCTAGACCTCTATAAATGCCCCTTGCCTCCCAGCTCTTTCCTCTATTTCCCTTGACTTTCCTCCTGTCCCACTATTATGCTCAGTCCCCATCAAGGTTTCATCAATTCCTCTTTGTTACATTCCCCTTGATCATGCCCTACCAGGCCTCCCACATCCAGCTCACCACCAATTTGGATCACTTGTTCCATTGTCCCTGGGTTTATTAACACCACTTCCTTTCCCACCACCCACCCCTATCCCACACCCCCCCAAAACTGTCGGTCCCATTGTTTTCTCCTCCAGATTGTTCATCCAGCCTATTTTATTTAGACAGACCTGCAGAGATAATAACTTGCACAAAAACAAGACAGAGCAAAACCAAGCAACAATATAAAACAAAACAACAACAAACCACTGACAAAGAACAAAACAAAACACAACAAGAAAGAAAAGCTTGTAGTTAGTTCAAGGGTCGTTTGTTGGCCTTTAGGAGTGTTCTCCAGTCCAGTCTGTTGGGGCACCATGCCCTGGCCCCAAAGTCCACCTTCAGCATTCCCTGGGAACCTTGCCACTCCATTCCCTTGCTGTTCCACTGCACACCCCCAGTGCTTTGCGTGGCGGGATCAGATCGGGCGCAAGCAATTCCCACACTGTGTCTCCAGTGCTGTCCCCTGCAGGGCCATGGGTCATTGAGGGGCGTCATTTCTCATAGTGGGGTTGGCCATGTGGTCCTCTCTGTGGACTGGCTGCTCTAATGGGAATCATCATCCTCAAGGCCTGGTGGGCCAGGATGTGCTCTACTCTCTTCTACTCCCCCTTCACTGCTCCCGTGTGCTCCGATCAGATATGTCCTTCTCCCAGAGCTGCAGATGGAATGTCGTCCTTTGAAATAAATTCTTCTTGGGGGAGGGGCAGCGTCCATTGAGTAGTTGGGACTGGGGCCAGCCCCCCGGGCCTCTCCACTGGATCCCTACTCCACACCGGAATGTTGCATTCACACCTTGGGGCACTGGGTTGAAGGCTGGACCTTCTTTCCCTGTGGAGATATAAACAATACTCTCCCCTTGGGTGGGTTTTAGCACCCTGTTCCCCCGCTACCCATTTCTTCCTTATATTCATCATTTTTTTATCCTTTTCCCACCTCCTCCCCATTGTCTACCATGTGCATCCCTGCATTTAATCTGGTCCCTCCCATACTACCCGGTCCTCACCCCAAGAATGTTTGTATACAGTAGCTTATTACCTATGCCCCTTTTGCATTTTTTTAAAGCTTACCTCAGCAGACTCATGTTGTACTTGTCCTTTTGTGCCTGACTTACTTCGCTTAGCATGATTACCTCCAGTTCTTCCCATGCAGCGATGTGCTTCATATGTTCATCACTGCTCTTTAGCAATGCATAGTACTCCATTGTATGTAT